TACAGTGGGACCCTGGAGGTACAGTATAAGTGTGACTGGAGGACAAGTCTGTCCCAAAGACGCAAAACAATTGAACAAAAAGATTGTGTTGTGGTTATAAATTACGCCTGTTGTGACTGTATGCAAGAGGTAGCATAAACATTTCTGTCTGTATTGGTGGTAAATAACAGGGTCTATTTAGTGCCCCAAAAGGCCTGACTGCATGGACACACACACAGAAGTCGATATGATGGATGAGCATTGATTGAAAAGGAAGTCGAAGCTGTGTTCCTTATGTGTTTCCTCCTGTCTTCACCAGCTGACTTCCTGACCCCTTAAACCTCACTGAACCTTTGGTTAGTCATTACATTACATTTCCAACCATACAAATATATCAGGCTAAATTTAGGGGGAATGTACATAATGATGCACAAGATATGTATAAATGCATCTGTGTGATAGAAGGATTCAGGCATACAGAAAGCATGGAGTCTTGACTTCAGATAGGTGTACAAAAATACTTATTTATTTGCTAGTTTATTTAACAGGGACAATACAGTTGTCATGTATGACATACATACAGCTACTGCAACTTATAGCCCCATCCCTCACTAGGCTTTTGGGTTCACAAAAAATCAACTAAACAAACAATTTGATAAAACAGTGTCAGGATAAAAATAATAAAACAGATAAAAAACAAACTGTCTACATGTGTCTATGTATGTACATGACTGTGTATGCATTGATATTTAACCTATAAGTCTGTGTGAGAGTGTAAGTAGGTCTATATGAATATGTTGGGGTATATGCAAGGCCGTATGTTTCGTTTCAACATTGGGGGGGGACACATATGAAATGGAGATTTTGGGGGTCCTTCGACAGAAAATTCTGAGCATTAATCTCTTAATTTTCTTGCATGATATCAGACTGAGTTGTCAACTCGTTACGCTCCATTTCCATCTTCATTCTGACATTGCGTCCACTGTAACTGATTTCCACAGAGGAGCATGAGTCGATTTTCCCTAACCAATCACTAGAGACCCACATATCCGCCTGAAACAAATGTCATCCACTGTAGGTACACAGCGTTACAACGCTAAATTTCAGTGGTAAAAGCGGCGGATACGTCACCACGACTTCATGGCCCATACAAGCAAGTCAAGGGAGACTGAACTGATGAATGTCTTTCAGGCTTAAACAAAATTGCATTGTGCGCATCACTGTCCATGCATTTGTCAACTAGAAAAGCTGCCATTGCTTTTGCCCTGTAGGCTGACATTGTTGTTTGTTTTGTCAGCTGACAGTTATGTGGATGCCGCTGGCTTACAGATCATGCTCCATTCAAACAGATTCCCCTGGCCCTTACTGTTACATTTTAAGCAGTGCGCCGGGGCAAAGAAATGGAGTGAACCCAGATGTGTAGTCATGTGAACATACATGTTTTGCTGGGGTTTTAAGAGCGGAAAAGAGCAAAGTAAAGCAAACTGAAATATTGAGCGATTCTGAGTAAACATGTCAACTTAGAACAGCCTCAATCAGCTCTCACTGCATCAGGAAGGCTCAACACATCAACCCATCCTGGAAACGCACTTTTCGAACTGCTGCTCGGTCTCAGAAAACTACCAAATACCAACCTTGAAGTCAGGGAATCCGATTCTACAGACATGGAACCTCAGGTAGATTTTTATCTCAATTCATTTGAAGAACAACTCCAAAGTGAACTGAATGATAATAAGGCCAAGCTCAGCCAAAGTGCGGTTGAGGGTAGACTCCTCCTGAACATCAGAGAGGACATGCTGGCCAGTTTCCTCAACAGACTCCTGGAACAGCAGGAGAATGTCGAGTGGAAACAATAGAAAGGGCTTTTGCAGAGGCAGATCAGTGATCTAAAAGCCCAGCTGGATTTGGCTCAGGCCAAACAAGGCCAGCGTCCAACCAGCGATATGAACTACCTTAAAACGCAGTTGGCCAGGATCAGCTCAAAGCTGAGACAAGCGCAGAAAGATCTGGAGCAGCAGGCAACCACCAACAAAGACCTGCATGCTCAACTGGAACAGGTGAGGAGAGCCAAGGACGCCCATCCCAAAGAATCCAAGGCACGGCAGTTGGAGCTGAATGCCAGAAGACAGTTGGAGAGCAACATGTCTGAAGCTCGGAGAGAACAGCAGATGCTAACCTCCTCAGTTCACCATCTGCACGCCATACTGGAGCAGATGAAGGGTGAGAAATTGGCCCTTCATATAGAACTGGAGGCAAAGAAGGTGGAGGTGCATCGTCACCTTCAGTTCATTGCATCGGCTAAAACCAATTTTGAGTTGGAATCAGAAAGCCAACTTAAAGTCGAGCGGGAGCAAGCCCAGAAAAATCTGGAGCAGCAGGCTTCCATTATCAAGGACACGCTGGCTGAATTGGAAGAGGTAAAGGGAGCGAAAGCTGCCTTTGAAGCTGAGGTGGAGTCCATGAGGTCGGAGGTAAGTATTGCGAAGCAGTTGCAAGCAGCAGCTGAGAACAATGCTGAGACGACCAAGAGCAGAGCACAAGTACAAGAGTGCGATCTAGCATTTCAGAGGGCTCATACCAAGAAGCTCAAGCAGAGACTGACTCTGAAGGGGGAAGCTCTGCAAAAGCAGAGGGAAGAGGCCAGAAAGACTCCGGAGGTATCCCAGGCCTACCTTCAAGTACAACTGGAGAAAGAGAAAACAGAGAACAAGAGGATCGCAGCAGCCTTGAAAAAAGCAGAGGAGCTGCTAGAAAGTGAGCACGTCAGCTTCCAGCTTGAGGAGGAGAAATCCAGAGCCTCTCATGTGGCTGAGATGGCCAAACAAAGAGAGGACAGCAACAAGCTCACCTTCTCTCTAAAGAAAGCAGACCAGGAAATGGACGTGAGACATCGCCAGTGGCAGGAAGAAAAGTCTGTCCTCACTGCAAAGCTGGAGGAATTGCAAAACCTCCATTCTGCGCAACTGGAGTCGACTGAGAGGAACCACAAGAACTACATGGCTGCTCTAAAGGTAAAATACGACCTGAAGCTGCAGAGTGACTGTCTCCAATGGCAGCAGGAGAGAACCTCCCTGCTGGCAGAGGCAGGACGTCTGTCCGTCCTGGAAGAGGGATCCCTCCTCAGTTGCTCTTGCTGAGGTTTCTACCACCCTTTCAACCTCGTTAAAGTTTTTTTTTGGGTGAGTTTTTCCTCATCCGATGTGAGGGTCCAAAGAACAGAGGGATGTCGTGTGCTTTAAAACCATCTGACGCACATTGTAATTTGTGATAACTGGTCTTGTGAACTGAATTGAATTGAATTTTACACTCCTAACCCCAGGAGGTGATCTCTTGGGAGTTAGGAGTGTAAAAGTGTAAAGTTATCTCTACACATTCTTAAAAAAAATAAAAATAATTACATCATATTTGTTTGTCTGTTGTTGAAACATTACAGTCATGTTTAATATTAGATGCTTTGTAAGATAAAGGAATCAGGGAACAGACACTAAGGAGTTGTCGTTTGCAAACTATAGCCTGAAAATATAAGTGTGCCTGGTATATTTTGGTCCAAATATTGTTATTTTGTCCAGGGTTACATGTTGGTCATCCAAAGAAAAACAGTGATGACTAAAGTGGCTAAAGAGCTTAACGAAAGGCAGGTTTATTCTTCGTCACAGAACCTTTCAAAAACAGCTGCAAATTAAAGTTTCACCACAAAGAAACGTACGAGAATATTTGAAAACACAGTATAAATGTATCAGTCAAAATGATGACTTATGCCCATAAATTAAAGGGCCAATAACAGTCCTGTTTCTTAGTGTCAGCAAAGTGTGGTCCATGCACTTATTGAAAAAATGAAAGGGTAGAGAAAGAGAGACAGAGTACTGATGGAGAGTGAGAAACTCCAGAGGGAAAAAAAAAACATTGTTTGACATGATACACAGGTTATTGTATTGTTGTCAAGAATTTCCAAAAAAAGCATCAAGCATCAAGGAAATGGGTTGGATTTGCATCAGCTTCAAACCTGGATCATTTGGTAAAGGTCAATTATCAGTTTACTTTTTGCTTCAAGAGTAATCAATCCGCATCTGTGGAAACATTCTCCCCCTGCCCTAGCAATTAAACCCCTTTAGAAATTGTCAACTATGTTAGCACCACGAGCTGTTCTGACCCTGCTAATAGTGTCAATTTGTTGTTGTTACTCCTCATTGGTTTCAACGCACCACTTGACAACACTTGACAACAACTTTACAAATGTCTTAGTCCTGCCCGTGGTGCTGACTGGATAATCGTTAGTCCCCCCATGGTTGTTCTTTATTTTAACTAGGAAACCACTGTCTCCTGTCATGATGCCAAATCAGAATCAGTCCACTTACACTCAGTGGAGTTGGCAGATCCAAAGGTCTGGACCCAGGTGATTCATTCCTGCATTCTGGTAAATTTTTGTGCATCAATTTATGATGTAAATGTCTTTAATCTGATAAAAACAAAAGTCAGTTACTTTCATGTTTTACTTTGTGGCAAATTAACATTTTCCAAATATTAAGGGGGAGGTGCCCCATGCTTTCCCCCCACCCCAAAATCTACACACGGATGTATGTGTGGAACAAGTGCATCCATTTCAAACTCATTCAACCGTGATCCAATTGCTTCACTAAGGGACTAGTGCAAGCTGATAAATAACATTTATAATACTGCCAGACAGTGTGAGGTAAAAAAATAGGTTACAGAAGTTGTTAAATGTCTAAACTTTGTTCACCCTTTGTTTGATCTTGTTCCAGAAAGGCAGGTTACAGTAGCTACGTCCTTCAGGTCCCTTGCATTTCACTTGTGAGGTCTTATTTTGTGGGCGTTGCCCTGGAGACAAACAGCCAATGGGCTGCTAGTATACTCTCTAAGACCCGCCTTTTTATGGTTGCTATGCCTACTACGCGTTTCTCTCTGATTGAGTACCGAAGCAGCCAATCGGCGTCGAGCTGGGCGGGACTTAGCGAGCACACTGAAAACTGCCTGGTGAATTTCTACTACTACGAACACACCGCTCAGGGTGCATACAAGTGTCGGACCGTGGCTGCAGAAAAGACTGGGGATGGAAAATGTACTATAAACGCTGCTGGAAAAGTCTATACAGGTAATGAATGAGTCCTTGTCTTTCTTACCGCCTTCTGTTACATTAATATATTTCAGAAATTGGCCCGAAAGACTGAGCTAATGCTAGGCTATTAAAAATATCGAGTTGGTCATGCATGGCTGTGACATTGTTGAATTGAAACTGGCAGCACTAGTAGACACGTTTGTTTGACACATGAAGGGAGGGAAAACACTGAAAGAGAAACTTAACGAGAAACAAGTAAATGTATGAGTTCAAAATACGATGTAAATCCACAATTTAAACTTTATTAGGCAATGTTTAGTCTTAATAAATCAGAATATACAAGATAATGACTCAGAATGAACATAATCTGCCCAAGTGGGGCAGGGCTTTATTGATGTTATTACATTAATTTGACACTCTGGCTCCCACTCAGAGGATATTTCTGTCATTTTATGTTAACTTAGAGACATTTTTGGATGAGTGAGTGAATTGAAATGGATGAATTTAGCCAGTCAAAGAATCTTCCTGCATTTAATGGCGTTTCTTTGTAGTGAATAAGTTTGTACAATCAGTTGAACCCATGACTTGAGCCCTACCAATACATGACTTCTGAGGCTGATATCCATACTGATATTTGAGAGCTTGAAATACCTGCTAATGATGTATTGAGCTAGACATTTTACAGCTGACAGAAACTTGTCAGTGCTTTGCTGTGGACTCTTTATAATGACCTCTTTGGCATTCATGTACTGCAGTGTTTTCTGCCAACATATACACCAATAATGATATATTTGTGATAGGCTGAAATTGGCTGATAATATTGCCTTGGGGATAAAGTGAAAACACTGTCTATTCTTATGGGGTGTAAAAATATATGTATACACTTAAAGCAGTATCATGGTTTGTGATACTATAATGATTCTTGAAAAAATTTAATGATTTTCTATTGATAGTGTGTAGGCAAAGATTTGTGGAAGTGTTTCAGTTTGTGTTGTATTTATACCCTGACCACTAGATCCTTCAGTGCTGTTGTCTATCTTCAGCTATTTGACTCTTTCACTCCATCCTAACAACATATTGCTAGCATGAACATAAAGAACACAGGTCTACGCAACAGGTAGAGTCATAAGGGGCGCAACGCTAGCATTGACAATTTTCCTAAAATTAGATTTAGAAAGTTGTAGTATATCACTTTGCTTACATTACGGCAGTATATTGCAGTATATTGAGTTGTAACCCTTGTACTGGGATACATATCACCATATTCTTGCCAGTACTCAGCCCTACTTTTCTATAAGCCCACAATCTGAATCAGGACCAGTTTTTGGTTCACTGCGGGAGATCATAGATCAGAGACCCATGATGGAGTTTCTAGGTTAGATGGAGGGAGAGCTGCTCATGCCTGCAAATATTAACTGGTCTGTCCTATCCTATGTGAATTCTGAGTTATGGCAGGTATTTGTTTGCCTCCACTAGAGAGTACAATACAATTGGAGACACCCTGGCTCAGCTCTTGGAAACAATTTTCTACTCAGGAAGGATCAGATTAAACAGAGCTCTTGATAAGGAGTTGTTTAACTCAGTTTGATACTGTCTTGGATTGAAATCTAGTATCTTGCTGCTGTATTGTTTTGAATTGACAACACTACAGTGGTGCCTTCATGTCATGCAGTATCATTATGGGCCTATCTTAAGTTTGTTCTTTAAAGTTAAAAGACACAACCTGTAATCCAAAAGGGTAACCCATTCCTAAACAATCAAGTGGAGGCTGCCATCACCCTCAAAGTGATGGGTAGGTTTTTATATGACTAACACTAAACAACAGCTCAAATTGTTAATGTTTTCATTTATCAGTAATATTTGTAAGAATTTAATTAAGAATGTGAATTTGCCTCAAACTTTTATAGTAAAACAATACAATACATTGTCAAAACTATACATATTGGGGGTTCACTGCGGCCTACTTGTCTGTGACCACAATATCCCTTATTTCCTCTCTGTCAACATTTCCTGTTTGAGACTATTGTATGCTATCAAATGCGATAAAAATGTGATGGAATTCAACTCTAAAAAAATACAGATTGTGTCATATGTCACCCACTTTGCTTCATTCTACCGGTATTTTATTGGGCAAAATGTCTTAAGCAAGTCTGAATGTTTATTTTGTTGAGTTCGGGGTTTTGAGGAGGCCACACGCTTCATTGCATCACTTTCAGGAGGTGCAACCACTGTCTGGTTGCACCAAAGCAACCAGACAGGAATTCCCCTTTAACTGCCTGACAGATGTTTAATTTCCAAACAGCTATAATCTACACCACAGTATTTGCATCTTCACATTGCAACACAGCTGCCTTCTTATGCTACAATAGACTGTCTGCTGGCGTTGTTTTTCTCTCTCTGCCTCTGAAAGCAAATGGCAAGAGTTGAGAGTTGAGGGCTGCCAGGCCTTTTGATATCAGTCGTAAACAACGCTCTCCCTGGTGCCTTGACTTCAACAGGAGATAGACCTTTTCCTTGCTGATGCTCAGAATGTGAGTCAGGGTGTGTGGGATGGAGAGAAAGGAGACTTAGTAAAGGGAGGGGAGGAGGGGCTCACAGTCATTAAATAAAGAAAAGTGCACCAGTGTAGGGAGGAACAGTTGTCTTTTCTCACCTTTCCTCAATTTACAGGCACAGTCTTGGCAAGCCACATTTGGTGCTGGTTAGTTCTTGATGATTGATGCTCATTCACTGACCAAAGGCTGTTTTCTAGTGCCTGTCCGCTGAGGCTCGTCAGTAATGTAATTTATTTTAATTGTAAAGGCATGGTTATACATAGACACAAGTTAGATTTAGATCTCAACCTATAAGGGTAGGTGCATTGGCTTGAATAAAGATTCTTTGTTCAAATTGTATGAATTGTTGTTGCTGTTTGCTTTACCAGTTATACAAAAATGGCTGCTGACATACAGAAATGTTTTTACCCATCATAGCTAGTGCTTCAATGATTAGATGATTAATTGCTTAGTCAATCGAAAGAAAATAAATTGCCAACTATTTTAATAATCCATTAATCTTTGTAGTTCATTTTCAAGCTGTTCATTTTCAAAACTGTCAGACTTTTGTTGGTTTCAATTCTTAAATGTGAGACTTTGCTGCTTTCTTCAGCATTTATAATGGTAAATGAAGAGTTTTGAACAGTTTGTTGGACAAAAGAAGCAATTTGAAGATGTCACTTTGGGATGTAGGAAATTGTGATGAGCATTTTTCCTAATTTTTTGACATTTTATTGACTAAATGATCATCAGTTAATTGTGAAAATAAGCAGCAGATTAATCAATACTAAAAACTAATCTTACAGCCCCAATCATAGATTTGGGGCTCAATGGTAACGGCCTGTTTTTTGATCCAGAGTGAAATATATCAACAACTGCTAGATGGATTGCCATGAAATTTGGTACAGGCATTCATGGTGTCCAAAGGATGAATCTTCATGACTTTGAACCCCTGATCTTTTTTCAAGCACCATCATGAGGTTGTCATTTGTGGTTTAAAGTGAAATGTCTCAACAAGTATTTGGTGTAGAGACACTTGTGGTCGTTGTAAACTTTTATTGTCCTCTGACTCCTCTGACTTTTCATCTAGTGCCACCATCCAGTCAAAGTTTAATTATATGCAGTACTTTGGCCTGTGAGCATTACAGCCTCAAAATCTATTAGCATGGCTGTAGACTCAGTCTTGTTTAAACTGCTGCCAATACATGAATTTAAGCCTTTGTTGAAGACGGTGGACGTCTTGCAAGACTTAAGACCCAAAATCTAACACTGAATATTAAATGTAAAGATATAATATGACCATTAGTTGTCTTGGAGACACTCAGTTGGAGAGAGAGGCTTGGACATTATGTTAGGGTGAGTGAGGAAGCTCCGGGCTAGATGCTAGCATTGTCACTTTACCAAAGATTATGATAAATATTTCATGGTGACATATTGCATAGTTCTACTAATAGCTCAACAGTGACCCACACTGTGTGACATGTTTACCAGATTCACAGTTCTGCAAAGGCACTGGTGATAAGGTGGGGGCAGTTGGACGTCTGACCTAACATCCATTGTAAAGCTTGGATATTTTCAGATGCCAGTGCTAATATGTTTTTATTTTGGATGTGCAAAGTCAAATTTGGTTTGAATAAACCCAGGATTTGTCAGCTTGTGTTACACTGCCAGACACACTGTTATATTAACTATGATTCATTGTTTTGTTTTTTTTTTTGTTTGTATTGCTCAAATGTTGAAATTATTGTATTCTGCAAGATATTGGTGCTGTCACAGCAAAATGAATAGCAATGCGGCATTCAACCATAAGAAGGGACACTCCAGTTTAGATATGTAGTTACAGTTTGTCAATGCTGCAGTCGCAGGAAGTGAGGAGGCTGGCCACCTGAGAACACAATATAGGTGGTTAAAAAAAGCTTTTGTTGACTGGCTGCCTCCTCACAGCCATGCAGCACACAACCAATTACTAAAACCAGAAACACTTCAGGAAAGCCCGATGCTTTTCAAGCCTGAGTTTCGCCTACCCAGACATCAGCAATTGCGGCAGATAGAAAGAAGGGAAAAGGTGAAGAGAACAGAAAGAAGCAGGTGCATAAGAAGAGTGTTTTGCATTTATATTTGAATGGAGCAACAATATTCATGTGCACACGGTTGCAGCCATGCATAGTTAATCAGCCGGACTCTTCACCTTGCCTGATTACTCCTCTTTCCCTCTCTTAGAACCATAAGGATCTTCTTACTCTTACTTATTGTGACCCTGCCTTCCCTCCTCCCCTATTGGCTCTTCTACAACACATTATATGGTGCCAATGACAAATATTAATTATACATGTGTAGCCTCTCATATGTAGGCTAGAGTGCTGCAAGGCCTGCCCCCTGCTTTGCCAAACAGGGCAGGACTCAGAGGCAGGAAATCTGAGGCAGGAAACAGTAAGGCTAACCTGTTACATAATGAAAACACAAACAAAACTCTTTCACTTCAGAGCTCTTGATGTACAGTGC